TTATCAAATCGATCATCGACTTCTGTGCACAAGCTTCCCGGTACCAGGTGTACTGATGCACTGTTCGATGTTTGAAGAAGGCGTTCCTAATGGACAGCTCGCTGTTTGCACAAAACCGCAACAACTTCATGCTGTTATTGTTAAGGTCGATAGGGCCGTTCGTTCCAATCACGCATTTCCACTTTTCAGTGTCTGCACTGACATGCGTATTGAAATCACCCTTTAAAACGAGGGATTCCGTCGTCGGCACTTCGTACAAATATACTCCGCTTCCTGAAGGAAGTACTCATACTCTTCCGTCAATCAAGCGCAGGACCTGTGAAGAGATCAAATATTTCGCCTATTGCAACGTCAGCCAGAGGACTGCCATTCTTCGCCTAACAAGCTTCCATTGGTACTGTCCGTTAATATGGGTTCTACTGACCACTAGTTTGAACGCGTTGAGTCAACACCCAAGTAGAATAGCTTCCACCAACAGAGGTTGACACTGTCCAACTATACATAGTTAATTAATATCCTGCTTCCTCATTAACCACCTCCTGCACTTTCTCTCTGAGTGGTGAAACATTCCAATTTCCGACTGTGACCAACTACTGCCCTCATCGTTTCGGTAGAACCCAATCGGCTCTGCACTAACGGCATCGCACTGGCTGCCTCCGGCTCATAACGGCTAGCGAACCTGCTTGCTGACTGGAAGTTTCGTCATCTTCGTGTTCTCTTTCAGCAGCCTTGGTGGTGCTGGTATGTTCTCCGTTGCCAGAAGGCGTGAAGAAGGTTCTGATCGCCAACTTTTTGCTATCTGTCTCAATTTCTCAACACAGTCTGGGTAAAACTTGATAACTCAGACGACAATCGAGCCGGCATAACGTTCTATAACGACAAAACATGAGTGACAGATGACTAGATTTTACTAAAGATCTAGCTTCGCTCCCCATCCCAGTTCCTTTCTCATCAGTGTTTAGGACTGGCATCAGAAGAGTTTCCAAATTTACATATATAATGTAATCAGAACTAAAATTTAAATAACAGAATCAGTAAAGATTATCTTTCTATCAAACTATATACGACATCATAGAAAGATTTTTAATACATCCTTAGGAAGAGCACGAAAGGTGGCCTTGAATTCGTTTATTCGGAGTTTCACTTAGGGCGTTTTTCATCCAAACAGAATGTCGCTACAGAGCTATATCTCTGGTCAGTTCTGCCGCTTCTCGTCAGAAGCCAGGCAACAGGAAGAAATATAGCAGCAGATTGTAAAAAACCCACTGTAAATGTACTTATTTTGTGTGCTAATTTTTAATTCCTTACCAAAAGCCCATGCATAGTTTCGAACTGTGATGCGACCACTTCGCGATGATAGTAACAGCCCTTGTTGATGCTAATAAACTTGGCTGATTTTCTTCAAAGGTAA